AATTGTTACTTGAATATCATAATGCATTATAATTGTTTGTAATTAGTTTTTTTCTCAAATATATAATACAGCCTACCCAGTGGGCACAACATGTGTAATCCACGTGGATTTTTGGTGGATATTTGGTGAAGTGGTGGATCCACCAGTTTTCACCTGATATCCACGTAGATTCCATGTGATTTTAGGCACGTGGAAAACCTGTTCTAAATTAACGTGGAATACATGTGGAGTTTTACATCTCATTCCACTGTACGTGGAAGTCACGTGGATATCACGTGGAAAATAAGGAACCATTCTCGTACTCATCCTATTGATGGTTGATTGACCTAATTTGTGGTATAATCTCAGTTCAAACAAGAATTTTTGTATGTTTTACATAAATGTGGCAATCATTAATTAAACATTAAACATCTCACTACCAAAATTGTCCAAAGCCCTAGCTGGTGCACACTGATGGAATAAAGCAAACTTAGTGTTCATAAGTATTAATAGATGTATTAATTGCATATACATCTATTCATTTCTTGTGTATTTGGGTATAATAATAGAATATTTACCATTGCAATTGCACATTCAATCCTAATTGTAAATCTGTGAAAAGAAAATCAGAGAACAGAGAATTAGAAAATTCATAAATGTCAAACATTTTGTGTGTTTTGTGTGTGTGATTGTATAATGTAATTCAGTAAATTGTATTAAAAGCCAAAAAAGACTAGAACACATCCCCTCTTTTGCAAAATATATTAACATCTGAAATATCTAGTTTTTAACTTTTTGTATTTTTGTGCTAATACAAATAATACAGATAGGCTTTACTTGCCCTGGACAGCTTAAACTCAAGCTGGCAACCCGTGGATTTTTGGTGGATATTTGGTGAAGTGGCGGATCCAAGTGATTTTATCCACGTAGATTCCACGTGATGTTAGACATGCAGCATATGTTCTAAATTAACGTGTAATTCATGTGGAATCCATGCGCAATCCACGTGAAATCCATTTAGATCCATTTCCTTCACCCTCTGAACATGGAAGTCAATATCATACAAACAATATAATACAATACTTTGTTCTACATATTAAACATTCATTTAGTTCAATTATTTTTATTTGATATTCTAATCACTGTTTAACAGTTTTTTTTTTTGGATTGACATCTTGAGCTGGCAAACGGCAAGCATTAACAAGCAGGAGACTGGTGGGGGCGGGGCTTATACATTTCGTCGTATAAGCGTCGCAAACGTTTGACGCCATCCAATTTTGAACCGGTATTAACTGGTTTTAACGTACGCAAACTGCATCCCTGAAAGTAGTGTTTCGCGCTGGTTTCTCCTGTCTGCTGTTACCTCCTGAGCGATTATCAGGTTTTCCCATGTGAGTAATTCAGATTTTAGTAATTTTCAAGACTGTTTTTTATTGAATTTTCTCATTTTAAATTTCAGCTAAAATCACTTATAAAAGTGACTAGCGCATATTATATATAATATTACATTTTAAAAATAAGCAATTTCGGTCGATTCTGATGTGATTTTGATGTTATCTTGTATCCCTCACTAAAATATCTGCTTATAATATGAAATCACACTCGTATTGTATCTACAACAATTGTGTCAGACATTCATTGATACAATAATTTCCTTAGATCATAGTTTGAATACCAGGTAGATCTTATTTGCCTTTTGTTAATCATGTGAAATAGTTCTGTTCTCTTCTAGATTCTTTACCAATTCACTTAAGTGTCAACTAAACATGAAGGAATCACGAGGGGATAAAATATCATTTGAGAAGACAGCGCTGTGCAAATTAATAACTGGTAAGTAATTGAACAGTGCCTTATGTGGT